TAATTGTTTGGAAAATAGTATTGTACCACATAAGTGAACATAACTGTAAAACTATTGCTTTAAGCGAATAATATTTAGCACAATTAATTTAAAATATAATGCTGAATATATGTGCAAATTTTCATGAAACTATCTCTACTATTAGTACTATTAGTTTTCGAAATAAATCAGCAAATACTGAGTACAATTTGGCTATTTTCCGCATAAAATATGATATTTTCTGTCAATATCCGTGAAAACATACTTATTTTATGCCCCAAAATTAATTTTCCTTCATTCTTTAACTATTATGTACCTACAGAAAGCATTGGTTCCAACAGATTTAATCAAATTTGGAGGTTTTACCTGTCCCTAAGGGGAGACAATATTTTTAGCCCACCATTTTCTTTCCAAGGGAATTAATTTAGATTTAAAGTTTTATAACAACAAATGTAATTGTTCATTGTAAAATATCAATAAAAAAGAAAAAACTTTTTACCTTTAGCTAACAAATAAACTAACTTTAGTGAAAACTAGAAATATTATCATTAATAAAGTAATGTTTTTTTTATTTTGATATATTGTGCAAGTTGTGATAAAATTGAAAAGCATTCCACAGTAAAACAAGTATTTTTCAAAAAAAATTTTACTATCTTTCGTTGTACTTCAAAGATTAATACGGTATTTTGAAATATTTTTGACGGGTACACTAATGTGTACTTTATAAATAAAAATAACATTCTTCATGGCCTTTTGGTTAAAATAAAAGTGTAGCTCTGCTGCACTTGGTCTAGCCGGGATCGGTCCCAAACTCACTGGAGTCAGGAGTCACTATTCAAAGCATGAGCCTACAATCTCAGAGGTTTCTCCGTGAGCGTAGATTGACCCGGCGAAACAAAAAAGTGTTACACAGGGTTGCCGTATTGGCATTTTTTATGCCAGATTCCACAAATCTAGCATATTTAGAAATTGAGCTGGCATAAGATAATGAACTGGCATATTTGGGTTTTTCCTGGCATTTTTTATCAAGATGTGCTCACATTTTCTTCATGGTTCCTCTGTTAGAAACAAGCAACTTTACTAAAAGCAATGTAGACCTACAGCTAAAATCTTTATTTCTTCTTCTTCTTCTTCTTCGCGTTCACCAGCTGTAAACTCTGGCGGAAGGTTCTGGTTGCTCGTCCACTATTGAACTGCAGTCCTGCTCCAGAACCTGAGTGTTGCGTGTGCATCAGTTTTACAGATCTCATTCTCTTGAATACAGACTGTTGGTTCCTTGCCTCTCCGGCAGATGCACTCCGACTTCAAAGGAAGCTACCCAATTAGTCGACTCTTACGACATGCTTTTGGGGAGGCAGTGGGTCTATTCTTGTTTTCCCCACAATGGGGCCCCGGAACCCACACGGGGGTCTTTATTTCAGTTTGACTTTGTTGTGATGTTCTGGTTCGTACTAACGGAGATTCGCACCATTTCTTATTGTTTTGTTGTCTTCCTAATCGGATCGTGATTGCTATAAACCTCTGAAATTTATGTTAATTTACTAGAATAAATGCGAGATATAAAACGAAAACCCACCACTGATACCAAGTGATTCAGACTGTTCAGAAACTACTTGAGGACAGAAAATAGATAGGATATAGACCTAGTTCTATCTGTGATAGATTTTATTTCCTTTACCAATGGTCACGTCATTCACCCCCCCCCCCCCCCAAACGGAAAGCATCTTATGGCAGCAATCGCAAGTATAATAGTAATTGGGAGAAAACATACTGATGGCTCAAAAGATCTTCAGACGGATCAGAGGCAGCATATTGTAAACTGTGTCAGTGCACTGTTTCACCAAGAATTAGTAGCATTTAAAATCATGAAAAATCCGAAAAACACAGGATGAAAACTCCGTCAAAATGCCAGTCACAGCTTATTACAACAATAACTCCTGGGCAAAGTAATGATAAAGTTAAAGCAGCAGAGTTGCAACTTGCTGTAAACATGACCTGCCATTGTGCAATACGCACAATTGATCATTTAAGTGAAATCACGAAAGCGCATGATCAGCGGAGTACATTGGAGCACATACAGTTAGTTGCACAGAACTAAATGTTTATGCTTAAAAGGAAATATTATATCGCCTGCACTTAAGGATGACCTTATTGAAGATTTTCGGAACAAGAAATATGCCATCATTATAGATGAGTCTACTGACGTTTCCACTCAAAAGTACTTGTGCATTATAGTTAGTTTACTGGATTTCTTGCTTTAATTTCCTTGCAAGTGGCTTCAGGAGAAAACGTTATTTAATTTGATTGATAAGGAAATACAAAGGTGTGGTCAGAGTTTTACAAATTGCATTTGGTTTGCGCCAGATGGCGCTTCAAACATGGTCGGGTGCAAGAACTCTGTATGGTCCAGAAATAAAAATGTGTCTCCTTTTCGTGTATAGCTCAGATGCATCTGCCATTCACTAGCACTCTGCATTTGTAGTGCAATTGCGAAGCACCAGAAAAGTCTTAAGAACAGACTGTATGACGTCAATGAGCAGGAAAAAAAAATATTCATCACGTTCACTTTGGTATTAAATTCATAACGGAATGTAATGCGTTCCTACATAAAAAATTAAAAAAAAAAACAGGACTGAAGCTCAAATAGAAATAAACAATGTTAAAGAAAGAAGTATGTCTGTGCTAGAGGAAGCTCTCAGTCAAATTTCGTGTAGACTTCCCACCGAGAATATATTTCAAAATCTGTCAAAATTTAGCCCTTTGGCAGTTTTAAATCAAATATCAAGGACACAGTTTTCAGAGCTACCATTTTTATACCTGGCAGAAAACAACATCAGTATTATAGAAGAACAATACAGAAAATTGATTCTTGTCAAATGGAAAGAAGAAGCTGCATTTAAGAAGTATAGACCTTCTATAAACAGGGAAAAATTTTTGGATGGGCGTACTTCGACACCAGGCAATTAAAGAGTTGGCCACTTTCGCCCTTACTTGCTTAATTAATAATGCCCGTTAGCAATGCTGTAGTTGAGAGAATATTCTCTCTTGTTACTTCAACTGAATCAAAAGGAAGAAACAAAATACAATTGGATTTTCTTGATGCAGTTGTCAGAATTAGAGCAGAACTATTGATATCAAAGAAATGTTGCAAAGACTTCATTCCATCTGAGAAAATGCTTAAAAATTTTACATCCGAAAAGGTTTACGCTGCATCTTCCACTGGTTCCAGTGAGGATGACAGTGAAGAATTCAATCTAGAGCTTTTTATGTGAAGTGAGTACAATGTTACACTTTATTTGGCAATTTTCTGGCATATTTTGAGTGATGGTTTGGCATAAAGTGAAGTATTTTATCTGGCAACCCTTGTGTTACACTATACACACTTGCCATTGGAAAGAATAAGCCTCACATTTTAGAACTAATATTTATTAATGTTTTGCTTTCTTGTGATTATAATATTGATGTATGAATATTTAACTTCTAAAACGTGTGGATTTGCAAAAACATACGCAAAACTTACAAAGGGCAACATGTGTAAGAGCGACATTATCCATCAGAGCGACATTATCAAGTATTACATGCGACATTATCCATCAGAGTGACATGCCACAGAGCGACATTATCCATCAGAGCGACATTATCCATCAGAGCGACATTATCCATCAGAGCGACATTATCCATCAGAGCGACATTATCCATCAGAGCGACATTATCAATCAGAGCGACATTATCCATCAGAGCGACATTATCCATCAGAGCGACATTATCCATCAGAGCAACATTATCCATCAGAGCGACATTATCCATCAGAGCAACATTATCCATCAGAGCGACATTATCCATCAGAGCGACATTACATCAGAGCGACATCCATCAGAGCACATTAAGCGACATTATCCATCAGAGCGACATTATCCATCAGAGCGACATTATCCATCAGAGCGACATTATCCATCAGAGCGACATTATCCATCAGAGCGACATTATCCATCAGAGAGCCATCAGACATTATCCATCAGAGCGACATTATCCATCAGAGCGACATTATCCATCAGAGCGACATTATCCATCAGAGCGACATTATCCATCAGAGCGACATTATCCATCAGAGCGACATTATCCATCAGAGCGACATTATCCATCAGAGCGACATTATCCATCAGAGCATTATCCACATTTATCCATCAGAGCGACATTATCCATCAGAGCGACATTATCCATCAGAGCGACATTATCATTATCAGAGCGACATTATCCATCAGAGCGACATTATCCATCAGAGCGACATTATCCATCAGAGAGCGACATTATCCATCAGAGCGACATTATCCATCAGAGCGACATTATCCATCAGAGCGACATTATCCATCAGAGCGACATTATCCATCAGAGCGACATTATCCATCAGAGCGACATTATCCATCAGAGAGACATCATCCATCAGAGCGACATTATCAGAGCGACATTATCCATCAGAGCGACATTATCATCAGAGCGACATTATCCATCAGAGCGACATTATCCATCAGAGCGACATTATCCATCAGAGCGACATTATCCATCAGAGCGACATTATCCATCAGAGCGACATTATCCATCAGAGCGACATTATCCATCAGAGCGACATTATCCATCAGAGCGACATTATCCATCAGAGCGACATTATCCATCAGAGCGACATTATCCATCAGAGCGACATTATCCATCAGAGCGACATTATCCAGAGCGACATTATCCATCAGAGCGACATTATCCATCAGAGCGACATTATCAGAGCAGAGCAGAGCATTGTCCATCAGAGCGACATTATCCATCAGAGCGACATTATCCATCAGAGCGACATTATCCATCAGAGCGACATTATCCATCAGAGCGACATTATCCATCAGAGCGACATTATCCATCAGAGCGACATTATCCATCAGAGCGACATTATCCATCAGAGCGACATTATCCATCAGAGCGACATTATCCATCAGAGCGACATTATCCATCAGAGCGACATTATCCATCAGAGCGACATTATCCATCAGAGCGACATTATCCATCAGAGCGACATTATCCATCAGAGCGACATTATCCATCAGAGCGACATTATCCATCAGAGCGACATTATCCATCAGAGCGACATTATCCATCAGAGCGACATTATCCATCAGAGCGACATTATCCATCAGAGCGACATTATCCATCAGAGCGACATTATCCATCAGATTATCCACATTATCCATCAGAGCGACATTATCCATCAGAGCGACATTATCCATCAGAGCGACATTATCCATCAGAGCGACATTATCCATCAGAGCGACATTATCCATCAGAGCGACATTATCATCAGAGCGATTATCCATCAGAGCGACATTATCCATCAGAGCGACATTATCCATCAGAGCGACATTATCCATCAGAGCGACATTATCCATCAGAGCGACATTATCCATCAGAGCGACATTATCCATCAGAGCGACATTATCCATCAGAGCGACATTATCCATCAGAGCGACATTATCCATCAGAGCGACATTATCCATCAGAGCGACATTATCCATCAGAGCGACATTATCAGATCATTAGCCATCAGAGCGACATTATCCATCAGAGCGACATTATCCATCAGAGCGACATTATCCATCAGAGCGACATTATCCATCAGAGCGACATCATCCATCAGAGCGACATTATCCATCAGAGCGACATTATCCATCAGAGCGACATTATCCATCAGAGCGACATCATCCATCAGAGCGACATTATCCATCAGAGCGACATTATCCATCAGAGCGACATTATCCATCAGAGCGACATTATCCATCAGAGCGACATTATCCATCAGAGCGACATTATCCATCAGAGCGACATTATCCATCAGAGCGACATTATCCATCAGAGCGACATTCAGAGCGACATTATCCATCAGAGCGACATTATCCATCAGAGCGACATTATCCATCAGAGCGACATTATCCATCAGAGAGCGACATTATCCATCAGAGCGACATTATCCATCAGAGCGACATTATCCATCAGAGCGACATTATCCATCAGAGCGACATTATCCATCAGAGCGACATTATCCATCAGAGCGACATTATCCATCAGAGCGACATTATCCATCAGAGCGACATTATCCATCAGAGCGACATTATCCATCAGAGCGACATTATCCATCAGAGCGACATTATCCATCAGAGCGACATTATCCATCAGAGCGACATTATCCATCAGAGCGACATTATCCATCAGAGCGACATTATCCATCAGAGCGACATTATCCATCAGAGCGACATTATCCATCAGAGCGACATTATCCATCAGAGCGACATTATCCACATCAGAGCGACATTATCCAGAGCGACATTATCCATCAGAGCGACATCAGAGCGACATTATCCATCAGAGCGACATTATCCATCAGAGCGACATTATCCATCAGAGCGACATTATCCATCAGAGCGACATTATCCATCAGAGCGACATTATCCATCAGAGCGACATTCCATCAGAGCGACATTATCCATCAGAGCGACATTATCCATCAGAGCGACATTATCCATCAGAGCGACATTATCCATCAGAGCGACATTATCCATCAGAGCGACATTATCCATCAGAGCGACATTATCCATCAGAGCGACATTATCCATCAGAGCGACATTATCCATCAGAGCGACATTATCCATCAGAGCGACATTATCCATCAGAGCGACATTATCAATCAGAGCGACATTATCCATCAGAGCGACATTATCAATCAGAGCGACATTATCCATCAGAGCGACATTATCCATCAGAGCGACATTATCCATCAGAGCGACATTATCCATCAGAGCGACATTATCCATCAGAGCGACATTATCCATCAGAGCGACATTATCCATCAGAGCGACATTATCCATCAGAGCGACATTATCCATCAGAGCGACATTATCCATCAGAGCGACATTATCCATCAGAGCGACATTATCCATCAGAGCGACATTATCCATCAGAGCGACATTCCATCAGATCAGAGCGACATTATCCATCAGAGCGACATTCCATCAGAGCAGAGCGACATTATCCATCAGAGCGACATTATCCATCAGAGCGACATTATCCATCAGAGCGACATTATCCATCAGAGCGACATTATCCATCAGAGCGACATTATCCATCAGAGCGACATTATCCATCAGAGCGACATTATCCATCAGAGCGACATTATCCATCAGAGCGACATTATCCATCAGAGCGACATTATCCATCAGAGCGACATTATCAGAGCGACATTATCAATCAGAGCGACATTATCCATCAGAGCGACATTATCAATCAGAGCGACATTATCCATCAGAGCGACATTATCCATCAGAGCGACATTATCCATCAGAGCGACATTATCCATCAGAGCAACATTATCCATCAGAGCGACACATTATCCATCAGAGCGACATTATCCATCAGAGCGACATTATCAGAGCGACATTATCCATTATCAGAGCGACATTGTCCATCAGAGCGATCCATCAGAGCGACATTATCCATCAGAGCGACATTATCCATCAGAGCGACATTATCCATCAGAGCGACATTATCCATCAGAGCGACATTATCCATCAGAGCGACATTATCCATCAGAGCGACATTATCCATCAGAGCGACATTATCCATCAGAGCGACATTATCCATCAGAGCGACATTATCCATCAGAGCGACATTATCCATCAGAGCGACATTATCAATCAGAGCGACATTATCCATCAGAGCGACATTATCCATCAGAGCGACATCATCCATCAGAGCGACATTATCCATCAGAGCGACATTATCCATCAGAGCGACATTATCCATCAGAGCGACATTATCCATCAGAGCGACATTATCCATCAGAGCGACATTATCCATCAGAGCGACATTATCATCAGAGCGACATATCCATCAGAGCGACATTATCCATCAGAGCGACATTATCAGAGCGACATTATCCATCAGAGCGACATTATCCATCAGAGCGACATTATCCATCAGAGCGACATTATCCATCAGAGCGACATTATCCATCAGAGCGACATTATCCATCAGAGCGACATTATCCATCAGAGCGACATTATCCATCAGAGCGACATTATCCATCAGAGCGACATTATCCATCAGAGCGACATTATCCATCAGAGCGACATTATCCATCAGAGCGACATTATCCATCAGAGCGACATTATCCATCAGAGCGACATTATCCATCAGAGCGACATTATCCATCAGAGCGACATTATCCATCAGAGCGACATTATCCATCAGAGCGACATTATCAAAGAGCGACATTATCCATCAGAGCGACAGATCCATCAGAGCGACATTATCCATCAGAGCGACATTATCCATCAGAGCGACATTATCCATCAGAGCGACATTATCCATCAGAGCGACATTATCCATCAGAGCGACATTATCCATCAGAGCGACATTATCCATCAGAGCGACATTATCCATCAGAGCGACATTATCCATCAGAGCGACATTATCCATCAGAGCAACATTATCCATCAGAGCGACATTATCCATCAGAGCGACATTATCCATCAGAGCAACATTATCCATCAGAGCTACATTATCATCAGAGCGACATCAGAGCGACATTATCCATCAGAGCGACATTATCCATCAGAGCGACATTATCCATCAGAGCGACATTATCCATCAGAGCGACATTATCCATCAGAGCGACATTATCCATCAGAGCGACATTATCCATCAGAGCGACATTATCCATCAGAGCGACATTATCCATCAGAGCGACATTATCCATCAGAGCGACATTATCCATCAGAGCGACATTATCCATCAGAGCGACATTATCCATCAGAGCGACATTATCCATCAGAGCGACATTATCCATCAGAGCGACATTATCCATCAGAGCGACATTATCCATCAGAGCGACATTATCCATCAGAGCGACATTATCCATCAGAGCGACATTATCCCAGAGCGACATTATCCATCAGAGCGACATTATCCATCAGAGCGACATTATCCATCAGAGCGACATTATCCATCAGAGCGACATTATCCATCAGAGCGACATTATCCGACATTATCAGAGCGACATTACCATCAGAGCGACATTATCCATCAGAGCGACATCTCCATCAGAGCGACATTATCCATCACGATTATCCATCAGAGCGACATTATCCATCAGAGCGACATATCCATCAGAGCGACATTATCCATCAGAGCGACATTATCCATCAGAGCGACATTATCCATCAGAGCGATCATCTAGATCAGAGCGTGACATTATCGATCAGAGCGACATTATCCATCAGAGCGACATTATCCATCAGAGCGACATTATCCATCAGAGCGACATTATTATCCATCAGAGCATATCAGAGCGACATTATCCATCAGAGCGACATTATCGAGCGACCATCAGAGACACTCTAAGAGCTATGATCCATGATCCAAATTCTGTCTGATCTGTGAGCCAGAGAATAGGAAGTGATTCAGTCCACTTCACACTGTTTTTTGGTAACAGCCAAACAGGCATTATCATGGCCAACCCCTACAGCAGCGTCGCTTACTGTCTGATAAACTAGGCGGGACCGAACTGGTGATGGTAATCTGGTAATCTTAGTTTCAGCTTCATAGCAAATGGGTCATACCATGGCTGCTCTGCTCCTGTGCCAACGAAAAACACACAAAAGGTTTATCACAGTCCCTTGTGAAAAGATTGACAAACTGCTGTCTTAGCATATCTAGTATACAACGCAATAAAAGCATATGGTAGCCATCTGAAGTGCTAACACAAACAGTCCGACGTTAGAAATGCAGTTTATCATGGATGGTAGCAGAAGTCACCGACAGATCAGCAGTTGCACACGCAATCAATTTTAATCACATAATGGCACCGCCAATATTGTGACAACAGGCATCGCACCATTTTCTGAATCTACAATTCACACCACCACATTGGTCACAGTCGAAAAACATTCCAAAGGAAATCTGCAGCTCCCAGTGTCACGCCTTGTCCTCATCTCAAAAGCTGGACCAAACTGGCCACCCTGACATGTGCGTACACATGTACACTTACCTACACTGTTGTACAGCGTCACAAGCAACAACAAATAAAACTTGTAGAATGAACTAGAGATTAAAGTTTAAAAAAAAAATGAGAAGACACGGGTTGAGCTGCATGAAAAAGCAAAAGCGTACACACGCACACTCACTCACTCTCTCACTCATCTCTCTCTCTCTCACACACACTCTTCCCACATATACTCACTCACTCTCACACACACTTCACATATACACTCAATCACACACACACACAGACACACACTCTTCACACACACACACACACACACACTCACTATCTCACACACACCAGTGTACTTCGCACATACACTCACACACAGACACACACACTTCACACATACACTCACTCTCACACACAGACACAGACGCTTGATATATTATTAGTAGAGAAAATGTCTTTGAAAATTGTGACAATTTACATCATAATAATCTCACAATTAACTCACTTTGCCAGAGGTGAAAAAGTCAA